TTTAATTTTATAATTGAGGGCCATTTTTTATTTCTTGATTCAATTCTTGCTTATACAGTATTTAAATATTTTAAGATTAAAAAAATATATATCATTTTTATTACCGAATTTTTCATTGGGGCCATTTTTACCTACCTGTCATACGGGGCCATTTTTACCGGGGCCATTTTTTCTGGGGCCATTTTTTCCGGGGCCATTTTTTCTGGGGCCATTTTTTCCGGGGCCATTCTTACCTACATTCGTGATGTACAATGAGCTTGACTGCGAGACATTATTTACAGCGGAATTATCCAATTAATATAAGCAGGAAATAAAATTACACTGAACAACCTAATAAACAATAACATGAATGATTAAATTGTATTAACTGCTCACCTTGCAGAAGTTGCAAGACTTCTTCCTTGTGTTTTTCTCTATTTGTAAAATCATACCTCCAACATGTATTCTTTATATAGAGATCATGTGGCGTCTGATTGGCCTGTAAAAATAATAACACATAAAACTTAAAACAAATCAATATCGATCATTCTACTTTAAAAAATACTTCATAGAAAGTATCACGCAAAAATAATCACAAGAAGTATCCTAAAAGAAATATTATACGTACATATCAGTGCAATTTTTTTTTATATCTTGCAAAGATTGAATCATAAGTATTGATTATAAGACCATTCCCTTAACAACACAATCGCTTGTTGTGCTAATATTACTGTACCGGTGGTCTTCAGAATCTTTGTCAATCAATCAATCAGCAACAACAGCTATTTAAATAACTCAAGCAAGGATAGATCTAGGATGGGGAGAAGTGAATAGGGTGGATAACCTTTCCCACAAAAATACATAGGCCTAGACTAGAGCAATCCCTTTATACCAAGTAATAGAAACAAAGTTAACATTTCTAAAGTCAAGATGCTTTGTGGAGTGGTTTACATTTTACCAAATAACCTACAATTAAGCTCATCTCATTCCCACCCTCATTCACCCCAGCCATTGACTCTCTTCTCTCATATTAGGCTCCACTACTGATACTGTGCTGCTGTTTATGTAATCATTATCATCATATGATCAAATAATTTCATCTGGTCTTGTTGATATTATCCGTCAACAGAAAAGCCAGAATTATTTTATTTATTTGTATGAGACTTCAACATCATTAACAGACCTCAGAATGTGGAAAGTTCTGGGGTCGAGGCCTCCATGAACAACCTGTATACACTACCTAGCCATCCTCCATTCTTTAATCCTAGATCAGCCACTGCTCAAGCTGTAAACAAATTTTTTATATTATTTTTTGAATTGGTCTTATTTTCTGAATTGGTCTTATTTTCATCTTCCACATCACCAATGGAACTGCAATCTCCTTCATAATATAAAATAGTTTAAGATTCAAGATTGCTTTATTATCATTAACCAAACATGTGATGAAATAAATTCTTTTTGCCTGCTGCATAAAATGAAAGACATGGACAAACAGTAAAAGGCAATTCAATTATTGATAAACATTGAAAACAACAAACGGATACAATATAATAATAATAATGTACCTATAGGATTGGATTTATTTGGTGTAAACACCAAGGATAGCCCACAAAAGTCTAGAAGACGACTTATTTCCAGTAGGGTCCTTCTGGTGGTGATTGGGCAGTACACCGGGAGACAATCCCCTACTCTTTTCTGAAGAGTGTACTGCGTTCTTTAACGTGCACATGGGCCATAATTCACACAGGACCAACGGCTTAAACGTCTCATCCAAAAGACGGTGCGCTATTGTAACTTGTATTTCAGCCCTCTAGCTGAATCACAAGGAGAGGCAGCGATGGAATTGAACCGGGGACCTAGAGATCTCCATGCTTCAGCGCACACACAACGGCTACCACCAGATTAGCCGACTGAACTAAGCTGCTCATATCTACTAAAGCTATCATCACCATCTACTTTAGAATCGTCATCACGATCCAAACCATCACTTTTGGAATCATTGGACGCATCATCATCATTAAATTATTAAAACACTCAAAATTTATGTATTAATATAAATTATTAGTATTATTATTAATATTACTATGTTTATGCTGTAGTGATATCTCCAAAATACAATTTACACCAACATATTGTATTTCTTATTTAATAGCAGCAATCATGTGACATCCATACATTTATACAAATTTGAATGACATTATTTACTCCACTATATATCTTGTATATTTTACCTCATTCTCTATATTTACATCAGCCCCGGCATCCAAAAGAAGTCTTGCAATGTCCAGGTGATCTCTGAATATATGATTGGTTTTTAACAGGTTGTGAAGTGGAGTCTCTTGCCACTGTAACACATTGGAAACAAAAAGAGTGAATCAATAAATGACAGCTCATATGATCATATTAATAAACATTCAAAGGAAATCCACTCTTATTCTTAATTTTTAAACATTAATAATATAAAATAATAATACAATTAAACTGAATGAGTGGGTAGGAATACAAGCAAAAGTAATTTTTTTCTGCTTGATTCTCTGGCCCGGTTCATCACTTTTAAGGATGTAACCTTGGGAGAAGAATTTATTATTTTTTTATTCAGTAATTGCTTTAATTTTTTTATTGTTTGCATCATGTTATGTAAATTGCAATATTTTTTGTACGAATATATTTCATATGAATTGAAATAAAAGTGACTTAACATCAACATTCAATGACTATAAATCAATAATTAAGAGAAATTGTGATACAAATAATGTAAAATAGTAATTTAAGCAATCATTGGTGGGGCGTGCAGGTCATTAGGACCTTTGTGGAATGTCCCTACCAGCGATACTTAAGTAGGGTGGGGTATGCTGGTCATAAGGCACTATTGGAGTGATGTTAGACAATATATTACATTGTCACTTGTTTTCTGTCATGATTTATTTCTGTCATGTAATTATGTTGTGTGGATGGCCAACTAGCAATATGAAAGAAATTAAATATTGAATTGAATTAAGTTGAACCTAGCAGAAATCATCAGAGAGCAGTGGCAGTGCCAGGGTGGGTAGGGTGTGTAGAAAAAGAAAAGAAGTTTGGTTGGGCAAGTCTCATAGTCATATCCAGGGCCACTCAGTGAGGAGTAGGGGTTCTTGTCTGGAGACAGGGGGGCCGTCAAGGTTTACCGAGATGGAAGGTTGGATCAGAAATAATAATAATAATAATAATAATAATAATAATAATAATATTAAATAATAATAATAATATTAAATAATAATAATATATATTTTTTAACCAATGGAAATTTAAAAATTGAACAGTAAAATTTAAATACAAAATATTAATGCTGTTCTTCACTAATTCCATGGATTCAACAACATGGAGAACAATACGAAAAAGACGATATAAAATAGAACCATTTAACATTAGAAAAATTAGCAAATGGATTAATATACCCTGGCCTAGTAGATGGTAGGCCTAAACTAGGATAGTCTAGCGTTGACCTCCTGTATTTTAATGCTAAACAAACATTTAGGGCTAGACTTCATAGGAGGCTACTACTATGACTATAATAATAGTAATTTACATCATATTTCACGAAAAATGTAAATTAGTATTTTTTTGAACTGTTATCATTTAATTATTTATTATTTATTATATCTTTGGCTACTAACAATGATAATGAAATTGTGATAAATGCTTGTGATGATGGATCAGATGGATTAATAAATTTGAAGATGGTGAATTGTCATTTAGTGTTTATAATGAATAATGTGTTGTTTCCTATACGTACCTCGTCTTGCAAATTGACATTGCGTGCAGAAATCATCAGAGATTCTCTCATTTCCTGTGCATAGCCGCGTTTTGCAATATGATGTAGAATACACACACCAAAGTCCTACACAATGAACAAGGAATATGAAAACAGAGAATACAACACATCATCTCTTTAAAAAATATTTTTTAGGTAATTAAATTTTATGGAGTATCTAATTAAAATTGCAATTAATGAATTCAGTGCTCAATACAGATCAAAACAAGATCAAACACGATTGTGAAATTTTCATGTAAAGCTGATTTTCAGCAAACTATAAACCAATTTTTTTACATTCATTTTGCTGTATCACACAACATGGACGCCCTATGTTTTGTACATGTTAAAAATCATCATTTAAAAAACAAACAATTAGGTATTGTATTTTTTATGGAAAATTTAATTAAAAGTATATCTATTCAATCCAGTGTTCAATGTGGACTAAAACAACACCAAACATGAATGGAAATTTTTTATGTAAACCTGATTTCCAGCAATTTTAGACAAGTTTTTTTTGGCCCATGGCATGATGAACTGCTGCCACTCAGCCAAGCAATGT